TTCTTAAGTAGGATTCCACACCTTCTCACTTGCGTTTTGACTCTTACTTCAGTGAAATACCTGCGTACCTGCTAAAAAACAAACATACAAATAGGCAACACCACACATGTATTGCACTGTTCGAGTTGTCTATAGGCGGAAAGATAATGATGAGGCATGTGTGGCATCACACAGGTGATTTTTTAAAACAAATATCGCCATGTAGAACGGCCGTCTCTAATATGGTGGTTCTTCCGTTTATACATTTTTATCTCTGCCAGTACAATATAATACAACATAAAGAGGCTTGGCTTCGCTCAGCAAATCTAATGAAATATTAAACACCGTTCGCTGCTCCACTATACTCGCGCACGGCTTTGCTTTGCATAAACCGTGCCGGAATCTTGTCTCGAACTCTTGAAGGTTCGATATTTTTGTGAAGATGGCTTTGGCAGAAATATAAATAACTGTGCCCAGAGCTTGATTCATGGATCCCTTCACTTGGCGCGAAGCCAACTGTTCGTAGAAACCTGCACATTTGTGTTTTTTTTTTTTCATGTCATAAGCATAATGCAAGAGTTGTCGATAAATTCTCCTGAAAAGCGCGGTAGGTGGGAGTTCTGAATTTGGCCTTCAATTCTTTACAGGCAAGATTTTTTATTTCATTCTCTACGCATTTTTTTATAGCCAGGAGTTCGAAAAATACGTACTTCTATGGTTTCGTTTTTAAATGGCCGGGGTTGGTGAAAGCTTAGAGCAGCTGCGTCGAGGCGGTGTGCTCTGTTTTCGGCGCCCGAACGATGACCTGGTTGTCGTAAAACAGTTGCGGCACTTTGTTGCCAACATACTGAATTTGTCTGCTAGATCAGACATTTCTGAAATGTCTTTTGGCGAAGCAGTAGCCGCCATAAATAAAATAAAATAATAAAGCGGCGAATCCAAGTGTTCATAATATATAGGAGTATATGTATAAAATTCAATTGCTGACTTGGCGTAAGAACGGTACGTGATGACCGGCACCGCGCCGTTTAGACATGATGCTGACTATGAAGGATATTGTTTCTGTCAAAAAGTTGGTAAAATTAGGAGGAACTTTAAAAATAAATGGTAACACCGTGACGCACATTTCATAGTCAAATCACTACAATAAATAAGAGTGGCAGTCGCGAAAGAGTAAAGGAAACCTAATTTTTAGAATAATTATATTTCTGGTCGAGTAACGTACAACACCGTACAGCGTAAAATTTATCTCAAACATATATGTCCCCAAGAAAGTTCGTATTTATTAACTTCCAAGAAAACAAGATCTCACTAAGTTTTGTAAGGTATGGTTAATATTTTGCCTCACGTAATGTTATAAGAAGGAAAAAATGTCCATACTTTGCGGAAGCGGAATTTACATTTTTTGGCCAAAACTATTTTGATAACACAATATATAGGCAGCACCATCATTAACACTATTGATTTATAATGTGCAATTATCAGGCATTGGTTGTCCACACGAAACGAGCTTGATATATCTCCCTGTTCGTGTCTGGGCCTTGAAACAAAATAACGTTAACCGGAATTTCCACGCTTAAAGGTGATATCATTAAACCTTATTACGCGTTAAAGCTTCGTAAAAAATAAACCAAGCAAAGACACATACATCCAAATATAGTACAGCATGTGCAGCACTAAGTTATTTCGGATATTCATATCATTTTCTTGTGGAACTAGGTAAACACTAAATATATTCTACGTTATTTCATATGCAGGTCAAACCATGCACACATATCTGCCAAGAAATCCACAATATATTAATGACTGCAGATTTCTCTACAGAAAGCCAGCTACTCAGAAAGAGCAGATGACTTCCGATACCTTGCCTTCCTCTGGTCTACAGGCAGTAAACATGTACACAAAAATAAAAACCGAAAGCAATGAAAACTAGAGCAGCATGTAAGATTCACTGTATTATGCGACAAATAAACAACGTAAAAAATGTAAAACAGACAAGTTTTGATAATAAACTGAAATAAATCGTTAAAGTAATAACTTTACAAACATTTTAACGCAAAACATATTCAAGAAAATCGGTAATAACCAGCCACATGCGAGCCCAGTTTATATAACTAATGAATCTGACAGAAAAGCAAATATGATCAATAATACCGAAAGTTTGACAAGCGTTGGGTTTCTACCTTTGCTTTGCATCTTCGCATAATTTAACGCAATCGCTTTTAAATAAATTAACGAAACTATGATTGTGCTTTTAGCTGGCCCAAGATATGATGAGGTACCCCAGGACAGAATATAAAAGCCAAGCTCGCTGCACATTGAGCCGCCCGGCTGAGATATCTGTATGATTTATAATCTTGATATCTTTAAGCTTTATTTAGGCCTTTGGTACTCTCTACAACTTTCTGACTGCAATATTGACAACTCTTCTGTAGCGTAGATATCAGAAAACTTATTAGGCTTTTCTATTCATACACTGCTCATAACGCTGTCGCTTGTGCTGCAGCTAGAGTATCATTTGATGTCGCAAAATTGTTTGCACGCACATTTTCATGACTAAAACATGAGATTAATCTACGTGCAGGACTCAGTAGCTCGCGTAGCATCGTAGAATAAACAAACGGAATATATTGGGGCACCTTCATAACTGGCTCCGTAGGAAAAACATAAGATATGTTTCGAATGAATATTTGCCAATATTTTCTACAAGCACTGTCAATCGAGGCATCTTGGGGTAATAACTTGTGACCGCATTCTATCCAGTTTGTTGTTTTATATACAATGCGTATTCGAGACAAAAAATTATAAACTAAAAACGGACAGCTGGAAACAGTTTCAAACATTGAAAAATGGCCATGGCAGCTTTCATAACACCAGCTAGCAGTTGGATTTACAAAAGGAGTTGGCTTTTTGTGGAAAGTTAGCTTTTACTCAGAGGATTTAAGTTGACGCAGGACAGTTCCCGATACGCATGCGGAAATGCGTTTTCACAATTATCAGATTTCTTCACTAATAGAAAATGCTGCAGGCATTGGGCACAATTAAACAATTTCCCTCACGATCTCGCTCCGCCTGATGCTCGTTTCAACGTGCGGTGCGTCTGTTTCAATGTTAAAATCACAACTTTTCTAGCCAAATATCACATGATTACGGCTTTTTTAAAATTATCTAGTTCAATTACAGTACGTGCCAACCTTATGTTGTCTAGCAAGAGACAAAAGACAATTTTCACTACACAACCAGTACCTTGCATGACTGGCATATATCAGGCAACCACCATATCTTTATGCGCAGATTCTGATAATCTTTTCTTTGAAGGAGCCTGTACCAAGAGAGCCTCGCTAAACACGCTTTAACAAAGGACGTCACATTAACGAACGTTGTCTCCAATGTTAAAAAGCAAGCAGTGAAATACAATAAAAAATGCTTTCGACTAGTCCCCCTCAAGCTCACCTCTTCTTTGTTGTATGCGAAGTGCTATCCATGGTACCCAAGGGCAGTCCGCTTGGTGCGTTAGTTTCAGAAATTTAAAAATAAAGCTTCGGACCTAACCTGTCTGACCAAATATTGCAATATGCCCAATAGGTCGTTGTTCAATGCTGAGCCGGATAAGACCTTCAGGGTAAATAAAGCCACCTATAAAATTCTTCTCTTAATTTTCCCAAGAAATTCTTTTTATTTGGGACTGTAGCTGCAAAGGCGTTTGGTGTGCCGTGTTATTGGCGCCACGTTAATTACAACTAACGAAAAATATATATCTATATTTCAATACCCAGTTCCTTAGCAAAAGCATACGCTATTGCATGTATTGCAAGTGTCCGTGGAAATATTTATTTATGTTTCTTTAAGAGCTATATCTGGGCTACAAGCTGGTAAACTGGGGAGCCATTTATTATTTCGCTGCTATTGTTGATTATACTTCAGCAATCGTCAATATAAGTGGCTATGAATCCTTTCGTAGGCCGTTCAAATGAAGCTTGGTTCAAACTGTGTCCTACTTGAAGGTTCTTGGAGGGAGCCAGCGACCACTATTCTTATTTGTGGACCACATAGCCATCTCGGTTGTAGTGATTTTAAAAATACAGTCGAACATAGTAGCTATATTTCCTTTGATTCCGGTAATTTCAATTGTTCGGTGTTATAACATAGTCTTTAATGGTCACATTATTAAACATAATCCGTTTTTTTTTTCTCACGAGGTTTATTCTTTTTTTTTTCAAAATATGTTTTATTTTTAGGAAGAAGGCAGCTTTCAGAGACCCAACTAATTTGTACATATAGGTTATCTTCCAGTTCTCTTAGTGCTATAAAACAAGCCGGGAGTTTCAATGAATAAGGGTGAAAGTGGTCCATTTTACCTGGTGCAGCTTCATGACGCATCTCTCTTCCTGAAAAAAAATTGGATTAATGAACTTGCCCGGGTCAGCAGCGGACGTGTTTGCAAAATACTAAGTTAGTGATAGTTGCGACTTGTTGAGCCATATCCCGATACGCGTATTGACCAGAATAAAGAGCGCGCATCTACTAACCTGGCCACAACCTTCCCTCGCCCTTATTGCCACTCTAGTGGAATGAGATATTTGTAGAAATGGTACCATTAAACAAGAATATATTGAAGTACTTTTGCCACTTTAGTGGGGATTAGGCATCAAGATCAATATGACTGAGCTCTTCACTGGTTTTTGTTTCTTCAGATAGTGATATAATCCGAAACAAATGTAATTTCTTTTAGGGGAGATGATGAAACTGTATCTCATTGTGGAGACCATGTGTAAGTTATCTTTTAGGAGAGTGGTTTGTGATTAAATTATATAATTAGTGTCGTAAAATTGACGTAGCATTCATAATTACATTGTAGAATTATTGTTAGAACTTAAAATACTATGTGCGCCTTAAAACTAGAATTGTTTACATGCACTATTAATTGCGAAAACGGTGTACCTTAATAGTTAATTATCTGGAGCTATGGAGATTAAACCGGAAGTGCAATAATGCGCATAATTCAACATTCTTTATTACAGGAGTCCTCTCCCGCCACAGCTAAACACGGCGTCGTCGTAGTGGACGCAGTGAATGGTCAGCATGTCTTCATGGGGTGCACAGTTCGAGCCAAAAGGATTGACCAGGTGTCCCGGGTGGCGTTTCCCGCGATCTTCCTTTTCTTTAATTCCATCTACTGGCCGTACTTTATGTGTTTTACAGGGTAACGGTGGCGGTTTCATCGGTGCGGTCAATGGAAGAAATTGATTTGCGCCTTCTCAACACTGGTTTTTAAAGAAGCTCAAGTTGTGAGTGTTTGATCGTCGACGAAGCTGAAGAAAAAAGTGACGATGCTGTTTACAGATGACTCAGGTAGAAACCCAAAACCGTTGGTCGCTCCTTAACGGGCCGTCCATTGAAGTGGAGTTCCAAAAGATGTAGTTTGGTAGAATGGAATCTCAGACACTGCGCTGGATTTGCTCTGCTGGAGAGTCTTTATGAGAAGGTATTTTTGTAGGAGTTTACTAGATGGTTCTTTCATACATTAATTAAGTTTTTTCGCTCTATCCGTTATTTCGACCACATTCCTGCATTCGGTAACTATATTTATGAACCACTTTGTTCAGAAAAAATAAACCTCCAGGTAATATCCATACAGGTTTTTTTTCTGAATGATGTTGGGCACCGTCTCAAGTGGTTTGGGATGTTCTACATTTGCTGCAATATTATAATTTCAGCACGTAAACAATGGCTGCGTTCTTCAGTGTAAAAGTTCCGATTCTTCGGTGATGTATAGGTTGTTCATGTTGTACTCAATATTTTTTATTTATCATCGTAGTTCATTTCACACTATAGTTGTACTAATGTGTACATTGTACATGAAGAGCATAATAAATATGAATTCCCTATTGATCGATATTATAATTATGCCTTGATATTTAAACGTATATATACCCCTTCGTAAAGGTTGCTCGATGTTTCCTTTCCTCGTTTATTTCTGAACTTCGCGGTAAGCGTTTAATAAATTTTTTTACGGCTGATGCTTGTCGTGGTGACAATGGCAGCGCTTGCGTGAAAAGTCCATAAGAGACAGTGTATAAAAAGCACGCACATTATCTCCCTTTTCGAGAACACGCAGAAGCTAAATTTTAACTGGCTCCAGTACGCTTAAGTCGGTCCTACTACTGATTAATAAACAAGGCATTGTTCTTCCACAGACCACAATGAGCACAGAGAGGAGCAATAATTCGCAGCCGGGACAAAGTGCTCGATGAACTCGCTGTTTTCAAATAAATGCTATGCTCGCTGTCTTCCTAATGTTCAGGTCAATTTGTTGTACAGCCCACGTAACAAAACTCTTCTTGGCGTAGTCATCGAAAATATGCAGAACTCGACTCTATAACGCTATACTGCAAAACTACTTCGCCGACGTATACAGCGCAAAAATGAATGCGTGCTCATTATTGAAGTTACGAATACATTTATGATCAAATTTATAGGTGTACCGGAGTGTGAAATGTGCCAGGGCCAACAGGTGAAGCACTATACAGGCAAGCATAAGATGTTATGCTTTCAGGGGGAGTCATCGGCGTACTGGATATTATCAAACGGAATTATTAGTGTGTTTTACGAAAATGTCAGAAGGTATGCAAAACTACTCATACGTGTAATAATTGAACACGCCAACTGAGTAAAGAAATCGTTTTTCATTTTCTTGAAAGTAAACAGTTGAGCGAAGCAGAAGCGTCTCACTCTACATAAATGTGGTGTTTACAACCGTTGTTGCGTTCAGGTTTACATATCAGAGCTAACCGGATATATCCCACTCAAAAGTCGGTATTTTCTTGCTGCGGCTCTGTTAGACCGTCAAAATCCCCCACGATGAAATTAGTGTTGCATTCAGGACTCGAAGTCAACAGATAACAATCGAGTCTTCGGTTCCGCTGCTTGAAGCAAAGAAGTTCAAAACGAATAAGAGGTTTCAAAATTGTTTTCAGGAGAGACAACTGGTGTTCGCCTGCCGTGCTTGCGCCACAGAGTCCGTATCCTTGTGATCGATTATATTATTCGGTGAAAAGGAAATTGTCGCACCTCATGAAATGTTAAGTGACTTGACGGAGGGGACATGACCACGAACGTTCAACCACTGTTACTATAGTGGCACACCGATGGTGGCAGAATCCAAGGGAAAACATACATCTTCGCAATGATTTAAATCTGAACCATCCATCATAGGTCACATAATTGTAAAATGGCCTCTGTGGAACCGACTGCAAACAACTCTCCTGCGGTCCTTACATTCGGGATTACTCTCTTTCTCGAGGTTGTCGTATTTTGTGAATCAATATAGCGTCAGTGCCTGGAGAAAAAACGAGCAAACGCGTTCAGCTGAGCATTAATTACTGTTTGGTGATCCACAAAATACCGCCTGTCCCGTAGTATTAACATATACTATTATTTGCTCACTCCCATATATATGAGCAAAATGTTTAAAAAGAACGACAATGAAACTAGCAACGCGGCTCACAATTAAGCTAACTTGTGCCCTTCTAAAATTCTATACTTCTTGTAAGGTCCGCTAAAGGTTGATAAATAATATAAATACTAGTTTAATTATACTCTGAAAAATCTGCAAGATCTTTGAATGTACATACTGCGTCCAAAATGTTAGCCATGGTATAATATACATTTTTTAAAATGACCATATGAATATTTCATAACTATGAGCAGGACGATCGAATTAATCATACCGCGTTCAAGCTATGCACAGACTTAACCTTACCGATTTTCGGTAAGTCGTATTGGAGGAATCGAGGGTGAGTATAGTAACCATACGAGAGATATAGAGATATATGAAGATAAGTATAATAACCAGCCTGATTTATCGCTTTGCATCCGCTACCTTGTCTGGAAACTCACATTGTCATGCCTGACTTCGTGGTTCACAAATCTCAGAGAGTTGGCAGCACATGTCAGCATTATAAAAGTAAGAGCACTTCTTGAAACCATGTGGCTGATTATGTGTAGCAGACCGGGAACGGGTAATATAGCTTTGACTAAAAAGTAACTTCGTCTGTCTTTGGGACATAAATGTCACGAAAAATGCGCTGACTTATTTGCCAGTGTCGACAAGGAACGAAAACCAATTAGTGAGTATAATTAAAAACAGACAGTTGAACTCGCACAGTGGCACTATTCGCTCCCTATAGCAGTGGTTTTTGCCGTCTTCCGATGCCACGCATGTTTCTTTCGACCACAAAGTCTCTATACTTGAAAAAAGGACCTATGCATTACGTTGTGTTGTGCGCGAGTATTTTGTAAGGTTTTATTAACACCTTCGTAAACGTATTTTCACAGTGTTAGAAACAACAAATGCAAAGCATTTTAGTATGCGGGCGACTTACTCGAAATCGACATCACAGCCAACGATATTGTGATAATGACATCACATGTGTTCCTGATGTTTTTCACTGGACCACCAGTAGGTTAAAGTCACACAAGCAAAATCCGAACAAAATTGTAATGCCAGTTATTGAATCTCAGATTTAGTTACTGCTAAGTGACCGTATTTGCTGGTCGTACCAGCCACCTTTTTCACTGGGCATCTGGCATGCAGTTTCGAGCATTCCCCGCCAGTTTAATGTAACACTGCCAGTTATAGTCTGGAGGTTGCCCTCAGAACGGCTTACAGGCGAAGCATAAAATACACATCTTTTATGGAACATATTGGTATTGTTATAGTGGTGACGGACCCACAAAAACACTCCCGATGGCTTGGTGCTTCGCCCTGTAGGCGAGAAGACAACCCAGACTCAGCCACCTCGTTTGGGATCGCGCTGTTCCAGAAAACACTCTCGTTCGTTCCCCGCCTGGGAGATGTACCAGGGCTAAAACCGGCTGCGCGGGCGACAGAAAAGGAAGAGAAAAATAACATAAGCTGGAGGTGTTGTGGCGCTCTGTGTGCCAGACAGCTTTAGGAGGCCGCTACTAATCTATATCTCTAACACCCCTCGGCCTCCAGCCATTCGTTCAAAAAGCAGTTTTTGGACTTGTACTTTAACATAAATAATAATTTACCGCAAAAACAAAATCTTTAGGTGAAGTGGCGAGAAGCTTACTCGAACAAAATAAGGGGACGCAGCAAGAAGGACATTAAAAGTCCAAGTTGAGACCAGCCGTCATTCGCTAAATGCACTTGGTCTGTCCCAATAAAATTCAGGTGGTTCATTTTTTATGATCTATCTTAGCACCGGAACATGCCGTGTTTCGTTGTCAAATCAACAACCCTCTGCCAACACCAGATCAATGTATAAAAAAAAAATCATGCCAAATTTTTTTAGTGCTCTACGGGAGCCGTGCACAAAAATCCGCTATCAAGAGGCTTGGCCAATTTTGACCAGATTAACTTAGGCCATTATTGCATTGGTTATCATACAGCGGTCATACTACAGAGGCAGCCCAGACATTTTGTAGTAATTAAGACCGATACGTATGTATCAAAACGTATGTCATTTCATGACATCAAGAGTTTGTTAAAGTAGAAAAAAATAAATTTCTAGATAACTTAACGAGGCATTTAAAATTACTAGAAAGTAGTGATTCGAACCGTTCATTATTCCGGTTCGGTTTGGGTTCGGGTGAATGAGCTTTGTATTTGTTGCGGTTAGCTTCCGGTGCGGTCAAGCATTAGAAATAATGGTTTGGTTACCGGTTCCGCCCACTGTGTACCGGTTCAAGCGGTTTTTAAAAATGAAAGTTCACATCACACAACTGTTTAAATTAAAAAGTGCCTTGAACATTGCGTCATCTGCATTAAACAATACAGGTTATCAGAACCCGTGCTGTAGAACGAGAAGAGAAAAACATATATATGCTTAATGTCGTTTTGTGATCTTGGCCGTTCATAACAATCGCTGTTTTAGGAAAATCATTTGACTATACAGGTGCTCGGAAACTGCACAAAAGTACAGCACTCACGTATAAAGTCAGGCAGCCAGAACTCAGAGTAACAACTTGATGGTTGCACGCACTGTACTCGCAAACTACCCACCCCGCATGACTAAACGCCTTGCTCAAACAGTTGAATAGAGAAGACAACCAGGGGTGGTCAAAAAATAATTAAAATAAAAAAAAATGAGATCAGAAAATAAACGGCCGACTTGCTGCTTTTGTAAAACACAGGCAAACAAATTCTTCAAGCAGCGTCCACTAGCCCCTCTGGGCGACTGACGTCC